AGGAAGGAGAACTATTGTACCTGCCACCGTCTGAATATTCTTAAATATAATCTTTCAGGGGTTGCACATCCTTCACTAGGCAGATCAAAGAAGAGAAGAGAAGAACTGTATGTGACTGGTCTACTTTTTTTCTCTTTCTGTCACCCTTTTTTCCACACCCAGCTGGGCTGCCATGGAAAAGAAACTCTTATCAGAGGTCAGAGAAGATTTGAAATCAGGTGGAGAGCCCTATGGCTGCAGGCAACCTTGTCCTGTGTTTGACCTGGTGCCTCAATTAACATATTTTTCTATTTAAACCCCACTATGTTTATTCAGACATCTGTCCTTGAAGATTTGCTTGAAGGTCTCCACATTTCACTGTATGTGGATGCTTGATAAATATCTACAAGGAGGAGGGTCTTCTTGGTGGTAGCTTCAGAAGATGCCACCATTCTCTGAAAACGCCAGCCACAAATGCAGGCAAAACGTCAGGAACATCTTTGGACTGATCATTTAATTCCATCTTCATTTTGTAATACAAAAATAATTTGAGGTTGTCAAATCTTTGGTAATTATAATATTTATATTATTGTTGGTTTGATATTAAGATGTTTTAACCTGGTTGGTTTCTTTTTTTAAAAAAAAATGATTTTTTTGTGCTCTAAAGTGGCACAAAATTTTTAAGACAAACAGACTGACCAATCCTCTGAAAGAGTATTCGAATCTAATGTATCCAAGGTTATACACACTGAATAATTATGTGTCTACTTCTCTTAGAAGATAATGAAAGCATTCTTTTACTTGGCTTGGCTTGACTCTACTTTAGGGCTGAACAACTGAACAACTGCAGAGGCTACAAAGGCAAATATTTGTCCTTGGTGGGTTGCACCCTTTTGTAAATCAGTCACTGTGTGGCCAAAAACAAAGGACGTTATCACACGTGGCCCACAAAGCGATAATAAACTGGAAATGACAAATTCCGAAAATAAACCGAAAATATACCTTGATTCTGCAAATGTTTTTCACACGTAATTACCTTAATTATGCAATTAAGGAAAGCTCCATTTAACATTCACACACAAGTGAGAAAATCCTGTACATGTACTAGAA